AGAGAGTAAGTCTGATTGACCTCAGTTGTCGTCATCCCTCCAGAATTGTTGTTATAAACTCAATTCAATTCTGGGCTTCTCCAGAAACTATTGGAATGATTATTATGATGAAGGAGAAGCTCCTTTGTCTCCATAGCTCACTCCTTCCTGCACCTCCTGTCCTTCCTGTCTAAATCCCAGCCACCCTCTTTATTGTAAAAGTATGGTGTTTACTCACAGCAAGGACTCCATCTTCACTGATGACCAGGTAGCCCAGCTGGTCTGGGATTCTCTCCAGCCCTTGAGTCAAAGCTGTTGTCTGAAACACAGCAGAGACATCTTTCCTGTCAGTATTGTGATAACAGGGAAAAGGAGAACTTGACCCTTCAATGTTAAAACAGGAGGCTGTCCTCGCCATAACAAAAATAGTCTTGTAACAACTTCTTTTCACATTTTTACAAAGCATAACGTTCTTAGTAGAATACCACGGACACTGTGGGGGACAGTTCAATTAAATCTATCTGGAGCTCAACATAAATCTCATTCCCTGTCGAAAACAAAAATGGTTTCCTAGAAACGACTTTACCGTGTACCACAAGTTAGGGAAAACTACCTACAAAATGAAACCGTTTTTCTTTGATTAAACGTTACTCTACGAACGACATTTAGTCAAATTATGTCCCGCAGAGGGAGAGGGCATTACCACGTGACTCTTTCAAAATAAAAAAGACCCACGTTCGGGAAGATATTTAACATTGTTGTTACGAAAATTTTCTTAACTTTCTTCATTTTCTTAAATTTTAAAGTTAAATCTATGCAGACATAATGGTTTGGGAAACTTGAATCCTGTTGTAAAGCTTACGAATCACACCTGTTACTTTACAGGCAAGAAGCTTACTTGCTATGATCAGATGCACTTACACAAAAAAACTACGATTTTAATAATTTCCTAGGTTAAATATGTTGTTCTTTAACTATGTGCATGTGATGGCGTCCCGCCCATCTTCCTGGACTCCTGAAAACTCAATGGCATTAACTACCGGGGAAAAAAAGAGGGTAGTTACTTTAAAGGCGTAGGAATCAAAGTAGGTTACAAAGCCTTCGGGAGGAAAGTAGTGTGTAGCCCTAACGCAATGTATCTATAAACACAAAAATATCTCAGAAGTGAATATTTCGTTTTTTAAAAAATACTATCCTTAAGAAAATACTTTACAAAAGATTAAGGGTCTGATAATTCTGGTGCACGATCCTTAACCAATTCATTCTGTCTTCAGCTAAACAGGCCTATGATCATGAGATAACAGCCCCCAAAGTTAAAGCACGTACTTCCGTTTAACCAGACCAGAGTGGATACTAATTGTCATATATAATCGCATTTGCAATAAAGACTATGTTTATCTTCTTCGGACAGTATTTTTAATAAAAGTCTGATATTTCATTACTTCTTATTATATATTTGGTATCATGTTCGTTTGTTATCAACACAAAATAGCACAGAAACGCAAAATATTTATATTCTTTTGAGTATTCATCCCTATTACTCTTCTTGTTTTAAAGGAATACTCACCATGTTCAATCAAAAGAAAAACATTCACAGCTCGACTCCGCTGTGATAATGATCATATGATCTTGTCACGTGTCGTCTGACTCGAAAAACGGTACTTCCTGAATTTGTAATGTTCATTGGACAACTTTGCTGTCAATCCACATTGAGCATTGAGACGCAGGTCTTATTCTTTATTGGTCAATTCTACGGCCAGTCCTCTCAATGCAGCCATTAAACTTAACCGTATAACTCCACGAAAATGAGCAATAGAAATACCCATGTTCAAGAGTGCCGCTGTTCCGACCTCTCCAAATTTATAATGCACTTTTTCCAGAAATGCACAGTTTTAGTCTGTATTCAATCAGACTTTGGCGACAGTGTGAACAGAACTGGCTTTACAACTTGCGCATCTTATAACTGTCCATCAGGCTGCTCTTACTGATTCGAAGATACAGGATCATGCAGTAAATTACG